AATAATGGTTTTATACAGTATTTGTTGTGAGACTGAGTTAGATCACTCATCATAATGCTCTCCAGTCCCTCCCAGGTTAGGTAGTAATTTACAAAATCATTGCTTCTTTGTACTGCATAATATTCCGTTGTATGAATGTACAACAACTTCTCAGTCCATTCGTTCGTGATTGGACATCTGGGCTGTTTCTTGCGATAGTGAATAATGCTGCTATGAACATTGGTGTATGAGTTTCCATTTGAGTTCTCATTTTCTTAGAGTATAGTCCAAGCAATGGACTAGCTGTATCATATGGAATTTCCATGTTCAGCTTTTTAAGGAAGCACCAAACTGCCTTCCAGAGTGGTTGTACCATTTTTACAACCCCACCAACTATGTAAAAGAGTTCCTATCTCATCACATCCTCTCTAACATTTATTACTTGCTGCCCTGTTAAACTTTGCCACTGATACTGGAGTTAGATGGTATTTCATTGTGGTTTTGTGGGTTTTTTTTTTACATCTCTCTTATTGCCAGTGATTTGGAGCATCTTTTTGTATGTCTGTTGACCATTCAAATATCTTCCTCTGTGAAAATTCTTTCTATGTCTTTTGACCATTTTGTAATTGGGTTATTAGGCTTCCTCTCTTTTATTCTCCAAATCCAAATAATCCCTAAATCATGTCCATTCTACATTGAAATAACTCAGGAATCTATCTGTTCCTCTCCATCACCATTGATACTATTTTACTTTAAGACATTGTCAGTTTGAACATAAATAATTGCACCGCCAACCCAGAGGCAGGCATTCTGAATCCACTGCCTTCTCCACAGGAGAAAGGTGGGTAATCCTGTCCTGTGTGATGTACTGCCTCTGAAAACCCACTGCAGGATCAGCTACGAGTCACTTCCAACTCAGTGGTACATAACAACAAAAGATTGTTGTTGTTGTTGTTGTTGTTGTTATGTGTCATCGAGTCGCTTGAGACTCATAGAAACACTATGTACAAGAGCCCTAAATGCCATTCTATCCTGTGCCAACCTTGCTGTCTCAAACACACTCATTCCCACTACTCCACTCACAGAACTGATCTCAGTCGCCATGTCTACTAGTCCAAGCGATAGTCTAAGTGTGCTCTATTGTATATAGGATTTTCGAAGGCCTGTCTTTTCGGAAGTGGCTGGCCAATC